ATTTCTTTGCTACTATTTTTGATCTTTGAATATGAGGAAGCTAATCAAAGAGATAATGCTAGTTATCTTGGTCTTTTCTAGTATTAAATGTTATTAGACCATTTGTAAACTGTCTTTCAAGTGTCTTAGCCTCAGTACTGAACTGGGAAGTTGCTCTGGCATTTGAGACACAGTGAGTAAACTGAGGAGTCACTCAAAGAAAACTGATCTGTTTTCCATGTTGGAGAACTGGCTAACATCCTCGGGGAGGCCTTCTGTTCTCACATTAAAATGTTACCTTGCTTCTAAGCTTTGTAGAAGTCTCCAGTGTTGCTGTATATTCTCTCAGTTGCAGTAGATGTAAGCATGAGAATTTTTATGCCTCTAGAAACTCCATAGGTTTAAAGATTTTAGTTTTTACTCATCTGTTTAGATGAAATGTTGACATACAGTTGGTGAATGCTTTGCTACGTTCTGTAGCCTGTTTTACCTCTTGTGATCTTCGGGGCTTTGTTTAAGGGTGTCTTGCTCCAATTTATAGGAGGGAGAGGAAGTTCTTTTAAATATAACATACAATGGTTCATATGTTAGTCCAAACAGTTTATTATATCTCCTAATCAGGGAGATGGGGAAGGGAGGGAGGGTGATAGAAAAGATAGGAAAAAAGCAAGAATTGCGTGAAGTGGGGATAATCACCACCAGGATCCAGCAGCAGTCTCGTTGCACGACATTTCGAAGGTCTGAGGCAAAAGCAGCAGGGGGGGAGAGCAGCAGCGTGGCCAGCCTTGGGCAGCAAGCGGGTAGCAGGAAGAAGTCACAGAGCCAATCCAGGAGGAAACAGGAATTCTGTAGTGAGGAATCTGATGGCAAACACCTTTGTTCTTAGCATACTGGTAAAGCGCAGAGCAAGTCCAGGAGGGAGAGAGGCAGGTCATGAGGCTTCTCATGTCAGAAATCTCTTCTTCATGAGGAATCTGTTACCAGAAAACCTCAACCTCATGGTTATAGGTTCCCTTTTCATCCTTCTGCTGCCATCGTGGCATTCCTGGGCTCTTGGGTGTCCTGTGCACCTCCTGAGATAGCTATCTTCCTTGAGATAAACCCACACAGAAGACTGCTTCCTGACCATTAAGCTGCAGCTTATCTCTCTCATTGCCCCTGGCCTTGTTCATCTGTGTCCCTCAGACAAAGGATTTTTCAACCCTTGCCTGGGACTTGCTCGGAATTGTTCATCTGTGTCCCCAGCAAGCTTTGAGACAATGATGTAAAAGAATCTCTTACAAAGGGGAAATGTGGGTTAATGTGCTAAGGTATTGCTCTTTCAGGTTGAACGAACTCCTTTCACCCACTTCCTGCCTCTTTCTTGCTTTTTTCAGCAGGTTTCTAAGTATCATATGTGACTCTTAACTCTAGAATGATTAAGATGATATGCTTGTTAATTGCTTCAGGTTGTTATTAGGATCCCATTTGTCCATCCACTCAAGAGTTGGCTTTTCTCAGAGTTGGGCACAGATACCAGTACAAACTCCAGTAATTTTGGTGCTATCAGAGTAAACCTACAAAATTTTCAGGATTGTTTGTTGTAGTTATTATTAATATTCATATCTTATCTCCAGGTTTGTTTGAAAAAGCTGCTTAAACTGTACGTGTGTGTGAACCTTCTTGCATAATAGTAGGGCACAGGGCAAAGGCAGTGTCTTTCTGTGGGCTGGAAACTGTGGATCTCCTTTAAAGCAAGTAGGAGGACAGAGGGATTGGGAAGCAGCTTAGAAGGTTATTTTCATATACATACGTAATGAACTGAAAATAGTTGAGTAGTTCTTGCAGCAGCTATCCAGGTAAAATAATTGCAGAGACAAATAAGATCACAGAGGGCCAGAGGACTTGAATCCTCTTGGTTCCCCTAGCCACTTCTCATTTCCCAGTTACACCCAGCAGATCGCTTTTTGAGGTACTAAAAATCAGTCCAAGAATCCAGTGGAGAGAATTCATTCATTCATGTAGCATTAATGGGGGCAGTACTGAGATCAGAGTACTGGCAAGAGACTTATTTTAATACCCTCTTTGTTACTTTGGGTTGGGGAATTAATGTAACAGTGCTTATGCTTGGCTCCATTAGCATGGTCCTCATAATATAATGTGGGCAGTTTTTTGTTTGGTCACCTAGAACTAAGCTAATTTATGGGCAAACATATGGGAGACTTTATTGGTTATTCACTTAGAGAAGTGTCATGTAAAATTAGTCCATGTTTCTTCAAGTGTTTCTCTCTTCTGCTATTCTGCTTTTCCCAAACTAAAATAGACTTGACATCTCCCTGCTGTCTTCTTTCTGCCTGAGGGCATATAGAGTGTTGGAATAGACTTTTCAAAGGATTATCATCCAAGGGCTGGTGGGATTGTGTTTAAATACAGATATAAATTCCAACAGTCTGTGTCCAGCAATTGAATTGCCAATCTGTAATTAGCAAGCAAACATCAAGATTGTTAGGAATAATTACTCTATCCTTTTGAGAAAGAAATAGCTAATCTCTGCCTTCCTGATCCTTACGTTTTATTCCAAAATAGATTAGGCTTTTATCCTTTAAAGCTCTGACATTTGTAGGTCACTTTTTATGCTTTGCATAAAAAAAAGTTTTAGTCCCTTTAAGCTTTGCATAAATGGAATTCTGTAACCAAGACATGGATTTGAAGGCAATTGAGAGTAACACAAGCTTGATAAGGACTTTCAAATCTTATTTGAAATATTTGTAGTATTGATATATCGAGTAAAGGTTTCCATATGGCTCTTCAGGGTAACCTACATGAGGCATTTCTAACTTTGCTGCCCTAAGTAATTTAAAATAATAAAAACCAATCAGATGAAGACCCTCACAACTTCAAAACAAACAAACAAAAAGAAAATCACAGCAGAATTATGTTGGGGAAAGGAACTTATCTGTTACATAATAAATGTATTTATAAATTATCATAAACTGTTTAAAAAGATTAACTGGGGAGCATGTAGAACTGCATTCCCTTTCCATCTGAGGACATGGCATGGGATAACCTTAGTTATCCCTCTCTTCCTTTCCCCAGGAACTATCCTTGGACTTGCATTTCTTCCCCTTTAGAAAAGAGGTGATGTTTTATCTGGGTTTGATTTCGTTTTATTTGCTTTGGAATTCTTGTGTCCCTTCTAATTTACTCTTGGATTTTCAAGAGAAAGTTCTGTTGCATGTATTTTCTCCAAACATATTACTTGTTTTAAGTTATTAGTGACTGTTGTGACTTGAGACTATCAGATCTCACTGACTACTAGAAAGGCATGTAGAAATAGCTAAATAGCTGTTCTCTAGTATCATACAAGTGCTTCAATTAGTTATCTTTTTTACTAATGTTCACCTTGCAGATAACCCTTTCAACAGCTACAGCCCCAAACTATCAGTTATGATACTAACTACACCTCATTCCATGTTTCTTTTTGGCAGTTGAGTAGTAGTCTTGACTTAAATTCATTTGCTTTTTCAGTTTCTAAGGCTATGATGTGTTTTCAGAACCCACTTTTCTCTTCATAGCAGGGAGAAGGCCCCAAACTTGTTTCCATCCATCATGTGGTCTATTTTGAGGAAATGGAGACTGTCAAAACTGTGAACACCCATTTTCTATTGCCACAGTTTTTTGAGGTTATTGTGCTACTGTTTTAACTCAAACCAACCTTCTTTTTCCCCACATGTGCAATCAGTACAGAAGATGTAATGTTAATAGGTACAGTGGAAGAAGTAATTCATATCTGATTATGAAGCTTGGGATGTATTTGGAGTCCTTAAGGACTCTATACTTGGTGTGCAGCTGAGTGTGTTGCTTTTTATCAGCAAGGTCTTGTGGAATTCCAGGAATGTGGATGCTGACAGGTAAATGAGCTTTATAGGATGAAACATTGAAGAGCCCTCAAAGAGCAAATATGGAAGTTGAATAGAGAGTTGTGTAAAACCTGGAAGTTTGTATTGCTCAGAGTCATCAACTTTATTGATTCCTGATGCTATTTGTGTAATAAAGCACCTGCAGTGAAGAAATCATTTGTCCAGATTTGAGAGTATGAAGCAGCTCCCTTGGCTAAAGAAACATTTTCTTTGTTCTTCACTTCTTCCAGCTAGAAAACTTCCTCTGGGGAAGTGACAGTTCATTTCAAGTCCTGAAAGAAGTGTTGTTGTGTGAGTGTCAAAAATAGCAAGTCGGAGCTTCTATTATAGTGTGGCTGTCTTTTCAGATGTGGAATTCAACACAGAAATGTTTTGTTGCAATGCAGGGATGCAATAATTCCTTTTTATAGTTTTCTTGATCATTTTAGTATCTGCAGTAAAATATTGTAGTAGCTCTGGATGTGTTTCTATACCAGGAAGATAACAAACTGCAAGGCCTAGAAACAACCATGTTGAGCAGATGTCCAGAAAGATAGATACAAAAAAAGATCAGAAGATATTTACTGGAAAATCTGTATTTATTATATGATGTTGGGAAACAGTTTGGAGATCCAGGATACTTAATAGTTACTGAGGGATGTACTCTGAACTTTGTAGCTCGGGAGCTTTCACATGGGTGTTTACAATAGTTTAAGACTGGATTCAATTAACTGTGTTCCTTTCCAGTCTAATATTCCTCTGTGTGAACTCTATTACTTAGTTGTTGCCCCAGATGTGGTACAGACATCATAAATAAATGTCCTCAACGTTAGAAGGAGAGTGTGGAGGATCTAATAGAGTGCAAATGGTGATAGGGGGATGTCAACATATAACAAGAGTGAGTGTGAGTAAGCTTTTCTTATTCTGGAAGTTATGAAACGGCGCTGTTCTCTCTTCTTGAGTTAGATTTGTCAGAATCCAAGAGGATGCTTTGTTGTCACAGAATGAGCTTAAGACAGTCTTGAAGAGGGAAAAAAAAGTTTGCTTTTTTCAACTTGAAGTCTGCTCTCTGATCATACAAGTTCCCCTCAGGGTGTTACCTTTTGGTACTGGTTTCCTCAATTTGTCTTTTTTTACATAGATATGATTATAATCTTCAGTGAAGTTGGGGAGTACTACTGTTTGTAACTTTCTCGTGATGATTGGAAGCTTTGGAGGCATCTGTATTTAGCCTGGAGTCATAGCATCTATGGATGGCTGCTATCTGTTCTATTGCAGGTAATAAACACTGTGCCTTCTAGAGCCTTCCTCCCTCCTCTGCCTTCTGTCATATTCTGGGTAAAATATCAGAGGAGAGAACAATTGCATCTTAAGCATCTACAGGAATAAGCAGATAATTTCAAATGATTTCATGATGATTTCAAAATTATTTTTCAAAGGCAAAAAATACAGAAAATACATTTCTGACTTAATGCCTAAAGCATTGATCTGTCAGGAAAAATAGTTGCCTTTAAAAAACTTTCCTTAAACTGGACAAATCAACGGTGTTTTTGAAGGAAATTTTACAGAGATATAGTGCTATTTCATTTATTCCTAAACTGCATTTACAGAGCAAGCTGATAACTACCAATGTCTTCCTTCTGGACTTACAGATCATTGTGCACTTTAATGTTTTTAGTTGTCTGTGGTGAAGTCTTCCTTGTTAGTTTGCCATTCTAAAACGTTCGTCTCCAGATTTTCCAAGAAAGAGACTTTGGAAAACACTTCATTAAATGTTAATACTAAAGCCTGGTGGAACTAAGAAATTTACCATAGGACCTGTAGAGTTAAGATTTCTTCTCTTGTCTTTTCTTTGTATCTCCCCTTCTTTCTCCAAAAACATTGATTTTAGATTTTTTTCCCCTTAGATTAATCTTGAAAATTACATTAATTTTGAAATGTCTTTCAGAGTTGCAAACTCTATGTAAATATTGCATTATTGTGCAGTCACATTTGAAATCATCCATGTGATCCTCAGTTAAATCACTCATGTCCTTTGTTTCCTGCTGACAACTGCTTCCAGTCTTTATTATTTTTATAGGCATTTATGTCTTCTAAATGTAACTGACAAATCAAGATTATGATCAGAAAGCAAAGGTCAAAACTTTAATTTCCCTACAAATGTTGTTATTGTGATCAAATTTTGATTTGAGTTGGCTGGGTGAGAATGTATGGAGCTGAAGTTGACAGGCTGCTAAAAGAAAGGCTACTTTACATCTCAGAGTGTTAGATCTTAGATCCTGTGTGATGACTTGAAAGGATCTGATTTTTCAGTAAGTACAGAGTGTTCTTTTGTTATTTGTTTTTTGTTCAAGCCATTTTTTTAAGAGAACACCAGCGTCACTTTTAAATTCATTTGAACTTATTTTGTACCTTTGGCTTTGTCTTTTTCAGACTTTAGGAAAGTGACTGAGTACTAGGTTACCACATGATAATACATCTATATTTGCATTTTGCTGTTGCTTTTAAAGATGTGAAGTATTCCTTTTTGCAGGAATGGATGTCTGTGGAAGTCTGTTGTCTTTAAGAAGGCAGTGTTTAGCAGAACCATGTAGCAGCAGTGCTTTAGAATGTGAAGAACCAGGAGGAAAGATGGAGACTCTTTCCACCTTAAACACCAACAGTGTTTTGATGCAAGATTTTTTTTCTCTCTCATCTTGTGAAGCACCTAAATAGTGGACTAGTCACTGTCTGTCAGCTTCCAAGTATTCCCAATGTGTTTGCCTGACTTTGAATCTTTAGATCCTGCACAGTCTTCTGTATCAAAGTCAGGCTACTATTCAATTTTAACAGCGTGATATTGTAGATCCTCTTCAAGAATATGTTAGCAGTTTACCATTAAATTTCAGTGTGATTATTGTTAGTTCTATGTTAATTTTGTGCTGTTCCCACAGCAGTATTTATTTCTGTCTTCTAAAACACAATCAATTTTACATTATTGTTATTAATTTAGATTAAAGTGGAGCAACTCAATACTCTAAAGCAAGTCTCTGGATGTATTTACATGTGAAGGTAATCAAGCAAGTGAACATGCTGTCTGTTCTTCATAATTTTATTTATCTGTGTCATACTGAATCCTCTCTAAAGTTTCACTCAATATGATTTCCAGATGACAAACGTCATGTCAGTAGTGGATTTTGACATTTACTGTTGTTTTGTCAAGGTAGCTGTTATTGCACAGATCATTGTGGCCCAAGAAATTGATGCATCTACCTTTTCGTTAAAGAAGACAGTAGTGTCAGCCATGGATACGTGTAACAGATGAGATAAGGACTTCTGGGCAAAATACTTCTTGCTTGCTTCTCCAGGGCACTGCACTGTAGTGACGTGTTGCTAGTAGTTGCTGTGCTAGTTCATTGTTGTTTTTATGAGAGAGATAATGAGCCAAAGTCATCCTAGATGAGACCACCAATATTACTGAGCCCGATTTCAGCTGCAGGGTGGTATTTCCATTTAGCCTACTGTGAAGAGGTGCACTGTTTCAGGAAGGCTTAGTAAGATAGCTTTTATGCCTGTGGAATGCACATGATAGATGCATGACTGGCTAGTTTAAGAAAAATATAAATAAAAAACTGTGTGTTTATTCACTTTAGAAAAATCAAATTGGGATCCACTATAGATTATGTATTTTAAAAACTATTCTGGAATTCTACTAGATTCTAGTTTAGTAATATGGCTCTGCAGTGTAATAAGCATTCTTGGTGATTTGGGGCTTTTTCATATTTTAAATATGGCACTTTGTGTCTGGAAGATACATAACTAGTAACTTGTAATTATACTACTTGTAATTTTTGCCAGGAAGAGTTTCATCTGTAGATACTGATAAAAATGTGGCTATCTGATTACAGCTCTAAATTAATGTGTGATAGAATTTTAATGAGAAGAATCGAGAACTAGGTATATTGAGTCGGGTATTTTGAGTCATATCTGCCAGAAGTTAACTTGTGTTGCTTCAGAGTAGGCCACTCTTGTCGTTACTTTCAGAAAAAACTTTTCCTGTCTGTACTTAGGGTCCCTACCTCATTTCCTCCCTCCTGGTGGGATAGGTGCTCGTGGGTCACAAAGATATTGCAGTTGGAGTTAGTTTAGTTCCAGTGATCTATTAGCTGAAGACAAACCTTGCTGTTCCACACTTAATTGACCTCACCAGAGTTACCTGTGTGTCCTGAACTCATGCAGCACCATCACAGTTAGTTGCTTTTCTGGTGATGCTTCCTTAGTGTGATGGAACTTTTGGTTCTTCCCGGATCTTGGTAAAAATCAGAAGTATTACTTGTAGAAATGGAAGATGCACGGGGTAATGTGAGAAACCATTTTGGAAACCTAGATTGTTTTATTCAGTAACAGTTGTGAACTGAAGGAACAGAAGAACAACAAACTCCAGTGAATAATTTAAGAATGCACCAGATCCACTTAGCATTGTCATGAATTATTTATTTGCCACAGTAGTGATTCCTATCCATACCTTGACACTATGAGCCATTGTTTGTAGGGAAATGTAATACTGTCACCAATAGAGAAATAAACCACTAATGTTCTAAGTAATAAACAACTGATTACCTTTGTTAAACACTCATTAGAGAGAGGTATGATATTTTGAAAGAAGGCTTTTAATGCATTATGGCAATATTTAGAAACTTTTGCCTTCTCTATCCAGAGAAACTTGAGTTTGGGGACTTCAGATTTCTCTTCCTCTCTGTTCTATTATGTCTCTAAGCAGAACAGAAAAGTTTCTGATTTAGTGTGTGACTATTTAAATATAAACGCCTTTGAGGTCACTTTTTATCTGTTTTATATTTGTATATTTGTAGTGACAGGATAGCACAAGGTGTCAGCTGGAACTAACTCTGTATGTTTGACTTTAGCAAGTTTGAATACATTTTGAATGTATTCACAATTCCGAATTCCCAAGGGCTTATGTGGTCTGTCTGCACAGTGTTGAGTTTTCCTTCAGAGCCTTTAGAAATGTGCTTTTTTTTTTTTTTTTTTCTTTATTTGATGCAATGATTCTTTACTTTTTGGGGGAAAAGGGGAAGGATAGATGAGTGAAGAAAATTCTGAAAGAATTCTGAGAGAATTTTCTCAACTCAAGATAATGGATAGTTTGTGATAACTGTTAAATTGTCTCAGTTTCTCTGGACATGAAAGAAAATAGCAGTGAAGCTGAAGATACTATATATCTTGTAATATTTCCAGGCCAATCCTTTGTCCTACTTATTGTCTGCATTGCTTCAAAAAAAAAATTCAATACTTTCAAAAACCCAGAGCCTTTTTGGTAGGAGCTAGCTCCTTCTGCTTACTGATGTTTATTTGTATAACTACCTATTTTTGTAGAGATTACAGTACAACACTGTATAGCATAAAGATATATACCTAGTTTAAGAATACATTCCAAAAGAATAACCTAAATACAAAAGAAGGCTGACAAGTGAAGTTCATATAGACCTGAAGTATTCTGGGAATATAGTAAATGTGGACTTGTAGTGTTTGGTTTTGATGTCTGCATGTTGGTTAATAGGCTAAATAGGTATTGGTAAATAAGGACATTAATCCATAGGCGTTGCTTGTAGTAATTAATTTTACAGACATCTCCTCTAAGTAGTATTTCTTAAGTATTCTGTGTTTTTCAGCATACTGATGCTGAAAGAAGCTGCCAAGTAGAACAAGATGAATAAACTGTTCAAATGAAAATGCTTTGCTGCAAAGTAAATATTTATGCTGATTGCATCTATTGACTAATTTAGTTTGAACTTGGCAAGCGTTCATGAAGAAAATGGCAAACATAAGAATATTTTGACTTTTAATTTCTAATAATATCTAAAAACTAAAATTATTCTAGAAATTCTTTTTTTTTTCCAGACATGGAAAATAAAACTTCTGCTTACCAGTAGAACAAAATGTTTCCATAAAGCAGTGTAGGTTGGAAAGGGATCTCTGGAAGCCTCTAGTCCAATTCATTGCCCAAAACAAGGCCAGCTTTAATAAAAAGGGAAAAATAAAATTAAAAATTGTCACATTGAATCTCCTTATACTTCTTCAACCTTTCAGAGGTGGTAAAAAGGGCTCTTGCATCAGCAGTGGCTCCCTTGGTATGTTCACACCTAAACAGGTTAGAGAGAGGAACTGTATGAGATTCCATGAGGTCAAATGCAAAATCAGTACGTGTTAAGAGCTCACCTGCTGGAAGGGAGCTCTGTGGAGAGGGGCCTGGCTGTCCTGGTAGATGACAGGTTGGTCAT